TGATCAGATTTATTATTATCAACTAATGGTGTTACTCCCAACTAAAAAAAACACAAATTTTGATTTTATGAAATATATAAAACAATATGTTTTAGTTTACTTTTTCAAAATCTTTCTTATCTTGAAAACGTGCATAAATCATTAAAATTATATAAAATATTGAAGTAAATATCACTGTTAAATAAACAGTTTTATTTTTTACCAAATCAGCATTTGCAAAAACATAACTCCAATTAATTGGTGCAGGTAAAACAATAAAACCACCAGCAAATGTCGTTAAATGAGTTGAAAGACATTCAGTTTCATAGAGATTTGTCAAAGGACCAACTGTTAATCCATCTGATTTCCATTGATTATTTTCATCAAGATAATAACAACCTGATGTATATATACGAAGTTCATAATTTGATGTAAAATCATATGGTTCATCGGTGATTGGTAAAGACGTATTTATTGAAGAATTATTTAAACAATAATTATTAGTTTCTGCTGAATTTAATTCTCTTATTCCAAATATTAATGATTGATGAGTAGGTGTTTGTTGATTATCAATAAAATATCGATATATATCATCATTGGTTAAATCTATAATCCCAAAAAAGAAATCTATATGAATGTTTAAGATAAAGAAAACATACTGAAAGGACAAAAAATTGTCCATCCATCAATGAGATTAATTGAACTATTTAATTGTGGTGTTTGATCAAATTTATAAATAAATAAATAAGCAAGACTTCGATTTAAAGAATGAATTTCAAAATGAACTGAAATTGGAAGTGAACTTGTTATATTAATATAATGATAATTAAATAATAAATTATTAATAGTTGAATTAATTGATGTAACATTTTGTACATACATTGATGGAATTAATACATTTGGATCACGAGGAATAATCATTTGTATTGGATTATTTTGAGAGGCTTCAAAAGAAACTTCATTTCCATTCTGATCAATAATTGAAAGTGAAATTGATCTCGAAAGATTTGTATTTTGAAAATTTCCATATGAAGCAAGTGGATCTACTCTTGACTGAATAAAACAAATTATTTAATAAAAAATGATTCAAATTATAGAAAATTACTCGAAGTGAAATTGAAGAATTAGACGTTGTATTTAAAATAAAATCTGATGGAATATTAAATTGAGCATTTTCAATTTGTTTCACAAGTCTATCTTTGAGTGATTGGATTGATATAGTTTCTAATGATACAAATGATTGAGATGTATTCATTAGATAATTTTGACCGATATTTATATGAATATTTAATGAAGAAGTTAATAATGATATCATTTCTGTTACTTGACTATTGATTTGATTTGCTAATTGTTTTTGATAATAAATATTTCGATTTTTTTCGATTGTTTTAATAGAAAAATCATTTCCATCAGAAAATAAATCTTTTAAATAATCAAAATTCAGTAATAATTAATCATTTAAAAGATCTTACTTAAATTTGACCATTCAGATTCAAGATCAGTATCATAATCAGTAGGTATGGCATTTGCTCGAGAATAATCCAAATCAAGTATATCTGTTCGTCCTTGTAATGGCTCATTCACACCCTAAAATCATCGAGAGTTTCATAGAGAGGTGAGAATGCTGATTTTCTATATTTTACATTTAAAAGATTTGAAGCACATTGAAAAAGTTGGTTTGATGCTGATTGAGCATCTTCATATGAGATTTTTTCAAACATTGC